TCCTGTAACTCCCAGCAGCAACAAAGCCCACACCCCAGGCAGAGCACTGAAATTTCTAATAGGCACAGAATCAGTCATCACCTTTGCAATGACTGGTGATGGACTTTATAAGACTGATGGGACTACACAGTTAACGAGTACCAGAAGAACTCTGTTTTCAATAGGGTTAGAGCCAGAGAATGTTTCCCCAGTGCCAATAAGCAGGCCTGATCCACCAAACAAGATTCCTCTGCGACCCTCCCCTGCTATACTTCAGCAGTCTGAGATGGCACAGTCAAGGAGGAAGAAGGGAGACCAGACAGCATTTCCTGTGTCTGATGAGCAGCACTGCACCAGGTCTCAAGTGTGAGAAGATTGGACTAAGTTGCTCTCTTCTTACTGGTTGTCAACTCCACACTCAGAAGAGCTCTCATCAAGAACAAGTGGAGAACCAAGGATATAAATCCTCAGGTTTAAAATCCTGCTCCTGCTACAGGGCAGAACATCACATGCATTACCCTTTCTGAGAGAAGAGGTGAAACATGTTCATGGATGAAATACAGCCCTTATAGTCAGCATATGAAAGAAGCCTCTGGCAAAGCCACCGAACCAGGAAATCAACAAGAAACAAGAACTAGAAAGACTCTGTGCACAGAAGTATTCAAATTTACAAAGTTTGCTAGCAGGAAACGAAATGGCAGAAAGCTTTCTCTGCTCTGCACCACACTTACCAGAAGCAGAGGGGATATCACGAGAAAAGCCATTATTCCACCACTGCTAGACTCTGCATGTGTACTCTCTTGAGCAAGGAAACCACTACGTTGCCAGAAAGTTTGAAGATTTTCCTTGAACCTTAAGTTTTCATGTGCAATGGGTCTTTCTGATTGATACTTTTCTTGGGTGTACAGGAAGAGGGGAAAAAAAGAGTTAATTATACTGTAACTTGCTGTATTGTCATGCAGCCACAACTAATTATGGAAAGATATTGCTGGGTGGTCAGGGTAAGACTGCCTTTTTGGACAGCAACACAATCTTAGACTAGACTAAGCTAGTCAATAAAGGTCTTGGCAAGACATTACAATACTTCAATAATTATGATATGTCACCCTAATTATTTGTTATTGGGGATAGAGGGGAGAGGGAGCTAAATAAGGAATTAATATGGCCACCAATTTTTTAGACTCCTTTATAATAAAGGGAGCAGATGTCTTAGTGCTCCAGTCAACCAGAAAAGATATTCCAGAAAACCATTAGGAGCAAGCTTAACCCTAAAAATTATGAATTGTGTTACATCCTGGCTATAACATCCTTGTAAGAATACTTTGGTTACTTATATTACATATCTTAAAACTCAGATTGTGTTGCATCTTGACCAGAGTATTTCACCTCTGAAGTCAGTATTACATGTTAAGAGAACAAAACTAATAGCAGTCTCAAATGTGGAAAAAAATCAAGGTGCAGTCAAATTTAGAATGGATACACATTAAATAATTTCTGCCTAGAACTGCCTACTAGTTACTCTTCTCTTACCCAAAACCTTGGTTAGCTGTACCCTCCCTGTGTCCTGCTCAATTTAGTCAGTTTCCCTGGTTTCCGATTTTCCATTCTACTTTAAAATCTACACAACTGTACTAGCCTACCACTGCAAAGAATTATTTGCTCACTATACACATACAGACATTTCATTTTTGGCTAAGTATTTGAATTGCTAAGTTATTCAACTAGAATGAACAGGTTACCTTATTATCAGAATTTCAACAGTGACAGTCAGCATTTTTCACAGTATCAGTTATGGTATTACTTGTCTAAGACTCAAAAAATTACCCACCTTTCCACAGTAACCTCTCTCAACATTAAGCAAGTGAGAATGCTTTTCTCTTTTCTGTTAAGAAAGCTGCTCATAAAAACTAGCAAAGTTTATTATTTGGCAATATCATTTTATTCTTGCAAAATGCAATAAAAAAACCTGTTTCTCTGCATTTCTTAACATTTACATTCACCTACTTGAAACTGTGCTAGCTGAAAGACAGCAAGAACAGTATATTTATATAGGCCACTAGTTAGTCAGCACTGATCATAATATGATTAGAAAGATAACATTACGGGGTTGAACATTCCTTTCACTGACAAACTGGGGGAGATTCTCCATTTTTGCAGCCAAATACAAAACTGAGAGGCACTGAAGAATAAAATGAAAGATAGATACAGGAGAAGCCCCACTTCACCTGACTCGCACTAACAAAAGAAGGACAGATATATATAGCATACATGTAATCATGCACTTTCTGCAGCTTTCTGTTCATTATCTTTTCTGTATCTGATAGGATCTTCTCCCAGGGCCACTGGTCCAGAAACAATTACAGCACTCTCTGCAATGGCACCTTTCAAGAAACACATTTTTCAATTCTGTTAGACAAAATTAATCATTTTTTCTATGCCATTCAGACCAGAATCCAGAACTTGAAACTGCCTAACTGTATCAAATCCAAATTCAAAAAGGGACACTATTGTAGTCTGCCTTCCCCCTTAGAAGATTAGATCTAAATAACTTGCCCATTGAAGAAGAAATTCCTTGTCTGACAATGTTAAATGGATGAGAACCAACAAATTATTACAGCATACAGTAATTTTTTCCAAAGAGATATTTTTCTTAAAGGGCAATCTGAACTTACAGAAAAAGCATACTTCAACTTTTAAGACTTGAGTGGCCAGTACTTTTTTTTTAAAGCAACTTTACTGTATGTTGATTCTCACTAATGAAAGCAGTGAAACTCATCAGGTTCACTCCATAGATCTTCATTTTTTTCTCTCCCCTTCCCATGCATTCCCAGCTTATGATAATGCACATTTCCTTAGCAAAGGATCTGACCTGAGGTATTTCATTACCTCTTCAGCAATCAAAAAACCAAACTGAACAGCTAGATGCATTCACTTATAAATCCTAAAGGAAATGAAAGATGGAACAGCTGAACATTGGTGCAAACACTGCTGTTTGCAACCTCTCAAATCAGGGTTGGTTCAGGAAGATGACAAGTATAGAGTCAGTTTTTAAACCAATGGACCACAAAATCCAAAGAAAAACATAATAAGCAGCATAGTGTCTACCCTGGCTAAGTTTCTAGAAACTGCAACAAAACTTTATTAAAGAACAGAGTTAATCAACATATGGATGAGTATAATATACCAGGTAAGAGAAGTCAACATGCTTTTTGTAAAAGGAAATCATATCCAACAAACCTCTGAAAATGTTAACAAACATGTGGCTAATAGAAACACCAATTAAGCTGTCTACACAATTTTCAGTCTTTCAACAACATGTCTCAAAGGAAACTAAAACCAAACAGACTAGAGATCCTTGAACAGATGAATAATCAGTTAAGGTATCAGGAAGTAAAGCAAGCTAGAATAAAGACAAGCTGGCAATAATTGATTAGTTCACAGATGAAGGTAATTGGTAGCGACCCTCAGGGATCTGTGCTGCTCAGTTTATTCATAAATAACTCGGGAAAATTAGAACAAGCATATTAAGGTGATAAGTCTGCTGACAGTACCAAAGCATATTCAGGGCAGAAATCAGGATTCCAGTGAAGAACTACAGAAAGACTTAAGAATTTTTATTGTCCAACTATGTAAATGTGACCCTATGCATAAACGCAATGAATTTGAGATGACAATTAATACTGAAGAATGAGACTCCAGTTTTATAGTAGGTTGTTCCAAGGAAGTATCTGCTTAATGCTTGCAGCTTCAGAAGGCTAATCCAGTATCAAGATCAAGAGAGAAAGAAAACAAAACCAAAACATAATTATTCCACATTATAAATCCAGTGTGCCCACATCTTGAATATACTATGTTGTGTTTCTCTTTTATAAAACAAAGATAAAATAGAATGGTTAAAAAAGAAAGTTAGAGAAGAGCAATAAGAAGTATAGGAAGAACTTGATTAAGACTAGAAAAAGATGATGGAGATACAAGTAAGTTTATGAAACAAAGCGACAGAGGGAATTAATTAGGTGCACGCAATGAAACTGGAAGGTAGAAAATTGCTCTTCACATAACATACTTTGAGGCTTATTATACATTTCTGAATACACAGAGAAACCTCATTCAGCTCTGATGTTCTAATACAGCTCTGATGATCTAAGGCTTAGACTACTTCAGAGACTCCCCCCCTTCAAAGAAACTCTTCATTGGTAGAGTTAACACGCACAAGCACGAGTACTGAGCCAGAACCACCACAAAAAAACCCAAATCCCCTCTTATGAAAAGTTCAGCATAGAGCTAAGGAAAACACACCCACTGTGATACAAGAAACAGGCCTAGCTGGTACCTAACAATGATACAGACGTTTTACAATCAATGAAATGTAATCGAGACTAATTTTATGTTATTTTAAATAAAATACATCAACTTGCATATTATGTTGAATGATTTTTCTTAATCTCAGTCTTTCAAAAAGCCTACATTCTCTCAAGAATCATTTTAAAGAAATAAATGCCATTCAATGCCATTGTTTTTTTTAAAACCTCCCCCAGTTTTATTTCAAAGATTGATCTTATCCTACAAAGAAAAGATGTGTTTATAGAAGTGTCCTAGTGAGACTATTTAGTGGTTTCTTCCCCCCCACCCCACTTTTCAGAACATGAGATTCCAAATTACAGAAATTGCTAAACCACCTTGTTTCAACTTAAGACTCAAGCTCTTAACACAGGTGAAAGTCACACTACTCAATAACACAAAAAAAAGGTCTGAAAGCTCCCCCCCAACCCCCAAAATTAGTAAAGAAATCCAATTCATGCCACCATTCATTGCTACACAAACTTCAACTCAGTGAACACTTATTTGATCTATTATTCAAACTCTGTGGCTCTTTTAGAGAAAACTTCAAGTATTTGCAATTTCAGAGAGACTATTTATTGATCCACTGGTGACAGAAGGAGAAGAAATGAAAAAATAAAAATCACTATTAGGTATTAGAAAATTATATCCTTGTAGTAAGGATGCAGATAAAAAAATGTTACCTCATCATGTGTGTATCTGTAATCTGCCTTCTTTGACTTCAGATCCCATAATACCACTGTTCCAGACTCAAAGCCAATTAGAAGCTGCAATAATAAGCAGATACATTAAGTCTTTATAAGGATAAGTAAAATAATATTATTTGCAATGCCTTTAGTTTTTGCCCGAAAGAGATGCAGGATAATACTACATGTAGTAATTGCAAGTAGTTATGAAGACAAAAATTAGTGAGAAGCCGTGAAGACCTCAGTGTTAGAGAGGTTTACTTTGTACTTGTCGTTCTCCTAAACTTCCAGCTAACACAACTGACATTCATGCAAAATTAGAACACCCCCCCCACCATTCTTCTGAAGAGTCCTTGGAAATCCCTTTGGAGTTCCAGAAAGGTCAACATTAAACTTTCCTAAGTGTATTCCTTCCTGAGTGAAAATGGGGGGATTTTCCTCACTGGAATTTGTTCTGCTTAGATTTGCTGGAAGAACACACTATCCCTCCTGAAGTTCTAGGTAATGGTTCATTGTCTATAAGGAAACAATGTAATATAAGCTTTCTCCAGATGTTAATCATAATTGAGATAACTGGCTAAAAGGAACACCAAGAACATTAGCTGTTAAGAAGAGGAAAGCTAGAGAGAAATTAAACAAGATAATTTTCCAAATAATCTTTTTGCTAGAAGCAAGATTAAACCATTTCTGCAGGGAATGAAGAGTCAAATTGCTCGTAATAATTAGTCTAACACATTATTGACTATCTAAGCACTTTGCTCTCCTGTCTTAAGTGACACTTCTCTTAATGAAAAGAAAACGAGGCCAACATAAGGTAGTAGTAACAGTCTTGGCACTTGTTATAAGAAGGCAATGCAGCTTTGTCTTTCATAGTTGCTGGATCTACCGTGAGATCTTCCCTTTGAACAATGTTGCTACAGGAGAAGCAGCTAACATTAAGTAGCACGCCTTCACTCCCACTTCTTTTCCCCAACATGGACATAAAAAAAGGAGTAGTTGGCTGCCGGGATTTACTTGCTGTTGAAAGAGCGTATTTCCTGTGAGCAAACAGAAGTGCCCTGAGGAGTGTCTTTCGTATTACAAGTTAGAAAACATTGCCTTCACACACATGCCATTGTAGTCAAGGATAGAGATCTAAATCAATATGGTCTATTGCTGTATCTAGAGGTTTTGCCTGGACAGTATTTTCAGCATGTTAAGATTTTCAAGGTGTACGGTTATTTCGAGTATGAAAAGTAACAGAGGATCTCCTACCAGCTTGCAGATAAAATATTTGATCTATTTCAGCACTATGCAGCACTAGAATACCCTAATAATATTAGACACATTTGATCTAGTAAAAGTGAGCATTAGATTTTTTCTCAGTGTCATGTATACTATTATTTTAAATTATCTTGCTTATTATAAGCCATATTTTATATTTTTTTCTATTTTAACTTTAAACATTAGAAAAATCACAGTGATTAAAAGGCTAATAGCATGACCAATTTTAAAAGTGAGTACACAGGAGGTTCTTGCAACCGCACAGGCTTTTTTCAGCAATATTTTTCTTATGAGAAAGAAGTGGAGTGTTGACAAAAAACAGTAATTCTTAAACTTTAATTGACAATAATTAAATGTGGGGTGAGGGTGGAATACACCAGAATAAATAGATCGTTTGTCTTTTCTGAAGTTACCATAGCTTCATTGCATTCATATTCTAGGGTCCATGATCCTGGAATGTGATTCAAACCTAATGCTACAGAGAAACGCATTAGTTATACACTTACTGCAGTGAGCTTCATCCCAATGAAAAAACACTCTACTCATGAAATTCTCCTTGTTGGACTGAAGCCTCAGGTGTCTAGGATACAAGCTTATAACTAGCATGCTATTAAAACATTCAAACCACTGCTGAGACAATAGTATCATTCCCTCTCTTCAGTTTTATCCACCACTAACATGTCAAATGAAAAGCAAGTAAGCCAAAAAATATTTCCCCTGTGTATGTGGAACAGCAGTAAGCAAAATTATTTTCTCTCTCCTTGAAGATTCTTCACAAATGGGAGTTCAAAACTCTAGGATATTTCTGAGACGTTACACTCAAAAATAATAATTCAGAATTTAATTCATCAATCTATTCAATCACTTATGCCTGATTAATCTAGAGCAGAGTCATTAATGAAAATCTGTTTAAAGTAGCCAGAGAGACCTTGATGCCAAGTTATAATCGTACTTTTGTCACGGGTTTACAGACTTTTGGAAAAGATACATGTAAGACTGCTGTTTTCAGTTCCTTCTTTCATATTTTGCTTCATTGTCAAAATTAAGGAAAAACCCTCCTGCTTACTCTTCAGTGCGGACCAAGGGATCTGAACAAAAGTTGCAGTAGACCACTAAGCTTTTCTAGATAACTATATGGGGCACACAAGTTCAAGAGGCTTAAAATCCTTCATAGAGTGGGTGAGCCACGTGATCCCATTCCAAGACTTGTAGAAGAGGTCTGTTACTTGAAACACAGATTTAGTCTTGCAACCATGACTTAAGTGGAGAATGTATGATTTGGTACTATGGTAATTGCTGTCGCCTAGAGAAGGCATACTAACATTTTAAGTCCTTGCTCTCTCTTAATTCATGAAGTCTTCACTGTGAACTAAAGTTATGTGTTCTGTTGGTTTTGCATGAGCCTCATAACAGATGTCCCAAAGCAAAGGGTAATACCTGTAGATTTACTTTAATACAGAAGGAATTTATGTCCATTGAGTTCATAGCTCAAGTTCTTCTTTGTGGCTGCTATGTCACAGGACAAAAATTGTCTTGCAAGGGCTTCAAGAATGTGTACTGTAAAACTTTTTGTCAAGATAAAAAGATGATTATGTTAATACTATCTCAAAAGAAGGAAGAGACAAGTCTAATACATAGCTCTTTCTTACATGTTTTAGTTGAATTGACTTTTCTGAAGTATCTAGTTGTACTACAGACCAGTTGGGTTTTAAGCAATTTGTTATAATCACTAGATGCTGTCTGCTAAATGGGAGTATGTTAGTTAGACCTGAAATCCCATAAAAACTGCTGCCTTGGATTAGCTAAACTAAAGAGTAGTACATGGTATTCTAGATAAATATGCTATATAAATAAGCATTTTAAAGGTGACACAGCAACACTCAAGAGCATTATAATGTTTATTTCATTTCCATCCCACTATTTCTGCACTCAGGTTATGATTGAGTTTCTTTGGTAACATCTTAATTTTTACCACCATAAGTAAAGTTCTTTGCTTTTGCTTTCAAGAATTTTTGTAATTAAGCACTTTCAGCTGTGTTTTCAACTGTTACTGATTACAAGATGCATTCAATTATTCCAGTAATGTGTCCTACAGTCATGTCAGTACCTTGCTTCATATTATTTTCAGAGCCTGAAACCTTGATTTAGCCTTCCTTTATGCTTTCAACACTGTCCTCATCTACTTAATCATTCCTTAAAAAGCAGTGGTATCTATACTTTAAAAAAGTCTTGCTTGAAAAAAATGTATTGAATAGTCTTTAAACATATCCTACCTTTCCTTCATCCATTGGATTGTCACTAATGTGGACAATAGGTCCTGGGTGAGATTTGGATGACCTAAACAAGAAATACTTACATTTAATTTAAAAAAAATTCCCCTGCCCAAAACTGCAATACAAAATGTTTGCAAGTAACACAGATTCTGCAGATATTGACTCCATCTAAGCAAGCTATCGACATTTCAGCATGGAGTCACTTTTACTTTTATCTTCAAGCCCATAAATACTGTCTATTTTTAGGCACTTAGTTTCTGTCTTTTTATAAGAAGGAAAGACTTATTTACTGCTTATTCACAACAGAAAAAAATTGCCATTAGCTTCACAATATCTATCTTAATATTTGTTGTTACAGAATTGACACAGTTGGATAAAATATTTATTTTTATGCTGGAAAACAGGTCTTGCCATTATTCATAAACTGCCCAAGCTGGGCATTGCCGAAACAAGACAGAGTTAAGATTTTATGTTGACTTCTTGCTATTGAAGAAGATGGACTAATGAAGGGCTGTGTTTGTTTCAACAGCCTTTGGCAAGTGGCGGACTTCATGTATGTTTTAAAGATAGACATAACATTCTGGGAACAAAATAACAGCACAGGAACAGCAGCACACAAGTATGTGTTCTCACGCACAAAACACTATACTTGCATACACAAATTTATTATTAAAAAAGGAGAAGCAATGACAATAGCTGTAAAAAATACTTCACTCATAGAATAGGCTTATTTAAATTTACATTTTCAGCCAGTAATTTTATACTCAGCATGCATCAGCCCTCTTACAATGCATACCTTTATACTTTGGGCTTTAATCCCAAAACTGTAGAAGTGACATGCCTGCCCAAGTACCAGCCACATCATATTTGAACATATATTATTTTTCTAGTTCTTTATCACTACAGATAATGATTTTTAGGTCTATGTTCATATTGTCTATTTTGTCTTTTTTTATGTCTATTCCAGGCACTATGATAAAATAGTGTTACAGGCAGTGTTAGATATATATTAACATTAACACTTCACATTTATGAAAATAAAGTATTTACATGACTATTTATGTACTTTGATCATGTATTTCGTGTAGTGAGACTAATATGGAGGCCACACTAGGTAACATGACATTTCTGCAACTGTTAACATCTGGGACGCCTCTGTTCCCTCCCCTCAACAGACAATACTCGATTAAACTCACAGTTCAATGGCTTTATTCCACATGATGACATAGCCTGAGAGAGTAAATGATTCCACATTGACAATGTGAATGTTTCCTCTTTCGGTACCCACATATAGCCATTTACTTTGGAAAGGCAGATGACAAAATGTTATTCTGAAAGAGAAAGCCAGCAAAATAGGAATTAGAAGTCTTTTAGATATCCTACACTTCAAGGTCTACGTTGCCAAAAGGTAGAAGAAAGGCAATAGGCAAACAGGAATAAATAAGACAAGTTACAGGTAGAGAAAAGTAGCAAAGCCAGCACATGACAAGAGATGCACAGACAATGTAAAAACTTAGAGTAAACAAGAAATAGAAATCAAGGTATTCTAAAACTATTAAGGCATTCAGATAAAAATCACACAGCCACCTTTGAAAGTTATCATACTGAATGTATTTGCTCAAGATGGCTGTCATTTTAAACTTAAAATACAATACTCCTGTGTTATAATCTATAATTCTCCCTTTGAAATCTATCTAACTTCAAGTTCTAAAGAACAAAGGATTTTTAGAAATAGCCTTATGCAGATTAAGCTGGTTTTAAGTGAGGGGACAAAGGCAGAAAATAAGGCATAAGAAATGTAAGTTTAGATGTAACCCAAAGTATCACCTAAAAAGCAAACCTAAAACCAATCCTAAACAATTATAGAAGTAATTTTAAAAGTAGTTTAAATTTGGGGCTATTATTTTACTTAAACCACATTTTAATTTTCTGCCTTATATTTTCTGCTAAAAGGAAATACCTGAACAAAACCCAAAAGCTAATGACTGTTTATACCAGCAGAGAACTCTTCTTTGACCATAGCTCCAGCGCAAATATTAGTATTTGAAAACTTGGTTCTTTCTGTCCTCTTGGGTCCTGCTTATTGTTTACTATTTCTTCAAAATTGATAAGGAAATAATGTCTGTAGGAACTGAAGCTTCTAAAGTATCTGATTTTTCTATACAACAGAAATACTAACTTGAAATTAGAGTCTAGAAACTTTCTGGAATCTGTAAACTCTAAACCATTTTAATCTGACAGGGTTCAATGTTGAAAGAAATTGCAAAACTACTTGGACTATCAAACTTGGGCCTTCAGAAATGTTTCAGTGATAAGGTATAATAGTTATTCAGTGGAAATTCATTCTGTCAGCTCTAATCCTTAGCTTTACAGATTTTTTTCTTTTTTCTCCCAGTTGGGCTCCCTTCGTGCCAAATCCATGCATCACTTCACAAGCCTGTTAATAATTATTTATGCAAAGAACAGCTTTAGATCCTTTGCATTAGATGCTGTATATACACACTTAACTTCAGCACAAAAGCAAAGGCTAACAGCAGCAATGAAAAAAATTGCTAATGGCTGAAAAGATGTTAATTTGTATTACAGGTTTCAAAAGTTAAGGCTTCTGTAGTAATACTACCTGGATCAAAAGTGTACCACTTTACTTTTGATATCACTAATTTCTTTCTAGTTAGGGAATGCAGTTGCTCAAGCCAATCTTTAATTTATCCATTTTCTAACTTCCTTGATTTCTTGTGCTTGAATATTTAAGCCAAAAAGACTGCACTAACTTCTTTCAGTGATGTTGCACAGAAAAAAGGACTATATACAAGATTTAAAGTGCTATTCCAACTTATAGAGGTTGTAACATTTTTACAAAGCACAGTAATCTGCAAACTCCACAGGTTAAAGACTTGAGTTTCCCCAACGTCCTTGAAAAAAGTATTTTATTGGAAGCCAAATCACATACCTCTGTACACGCACTTCCTAGGCAGGCCTCAAAACCTTACTGCCCAGTAACAGAGCTCTCCCACTACAAGCAGGTCATGGGGAAGGGGAAAGCGTTGCAGCATGAAGACATACACCCTCAGCACTCTGCAACACCACAGCTTCTTTTTGTGCCAGGACTCCATGTACCAGAAACAGCTGGCAGCCAGATCAACTGGATCTAAAAACAGGGCCTAGCAGCCAGAAAAAATATTCAGGGTCACGGGCCTATCTGTCTTGATCTGTGAGCTAATATTGTCAATTACAGTTGTCCAACACTTTCATTGCAAAAAACAATCCGTTTCATGTCATTTAAAGGTGGGCAAAAAATGTAAGTTGGGGCCGCAACTTTGATCGCTATAGCAAAAGGGCAACACTTAAAGTGTCCAACTCCCCCAGACTCTTGATACTCTTCTTGAATATGCAGCCATATTCAATTTATTGTCTCTGTGCAAGTGAGATTAATTTTGTCAAGAGTTAGCAAGCAATGAAATGATTCCACACCAAGAGTAAATTAGAGTTGAACAAGTAACTTCACAAAATGTTTACAAGCTCAGAGGCAGGAGATTGAAGAGACGTCAAAGTGGTTAAGTATAGGCACATATAAAATAGGGTTCTTAACCTTATCCTTCAAAGTGTGCTTTTACCAGTCTTCCACAATCAGAAAAAAATTCTGGTATGATTTTTACATAACCTAAAAAATATTCTTAGAGCTTGTGTTTCACAGAACAACTGATGACTAGTTAAATTCGAAAGGAATTTGTCATGCCGATCCTGCTATAATGAAAGAATCACCATTTCACCTTGAATGTGGTAAATGTTACCCCATTTGCAAATATAGTTTTATTTGCTATTTCTTTATTTTCTTAATAAAAAAAGTATGTCTTCCAACTTCCAGAAATTCAATGATATTTTTGTCTAGAGTGATTCATTGCAGGTAACTGCATTTATTTTAGCAATTTACAGAATAACATTTCCAACATTGAAGTCCATGTACTGAGCTTCTTTCTCTTCAGCAATTAAGGCTTCACCTTAAACTATGTAGAATTTGAGCAACATTGGAAGTCTTACAGCCCCCTTAAAAACTAAAATTCAGTGAAGCTATGACCACCTGAAGGACCAGTGACAACATACTAGTGTGCCAACATACAGGCTACATTCGGCGGCCTTGCTGGCTCCATTGAAAATTGGACTGAGGTTTAAAGGGATTCAAACTTGTTTTGGAGGATGGAAACAAAAGGTCAGGGTCTTCTTGGTGGTGAGGCAATACTTGCTTATTTAACACTTCGTCAAGGACATCATATATTTTTTCCCTGAAAAATGCAGATTTTTCTTTCAGAAACCTACCCTTCTGCCACCACAAGATTAGAATAATAAACTCCATCCATAAAATTTTAAGGTCAACAGAAGTGGAAGTTGCCATATAATGCTCTGGCCATTTCTACCACTCAAGCATTCTTCCCCCTCTCTCCCTACCCACAAATGTATATGTACATAAATGTGGAAAATGCAATCACTTGTTGGGAACAGATCAAAAGGACTACAGATGCAAAAATTTTTTACTTGGGCTGAGTGTAATTCTTCTTTGCACACAAACCGCAACTGCCTGAAAACAATGTATCAGTCAAAAGCAGAGAACCACACTCTTCTCCTGTATCAAGCCATTCTGGCCAAAAATACTAGAACAGAAGCACCTATAAGAAATAGACCAGTTTTGTACATCTAAAGAGACAGTCTTGGACTGTCTGAGCCAGTGATCACAGAAAGCTGGCTTTTGCAGGCAGTTCTTTCATGGCACAAAGATTCCTCACATTATCTCCAAGGAAATTTCAGCTACCACAGTAAGTATAGTGCATTTTATGAAGCGGATTGACCTTTCAGCATAATGCAAGTATTGTGCACAGCACTTTATTCCAAATATTTCACTTCCCCATACCCGTACAAAGAAAAAAAAATCCCTTTATAGAAAAAAAGCAATGCTTTAAAGAGATTTTTTTTTAAATCTGAAATCTCCAGTATGATTTTAATATATGCTAACATCACTGCTAAAATGAGGTAGTTATGCAAACCCAAAACAGTCAGGGTAATTCTAAACTGTACTGTAGCTGTACTTTTCCCTAAGCACAAAATCTTCCTCCTCACTGCATACATATTGCAAAGCCACTTCTTCCCCTGTCCCCCCCTTCCAAAAAAATAAAACCCACAAGAAATTTCACTTTCCTGTGAAATGAATTTGTAAGAGTTGAACCAATAGTTCAAGAAAACAAAATTATATACAGAAAACCCAGTGGTACACTAGCAGCGGAAAACATTGATAAAAAACCCTCACAAAATATTTCTGGTTCTTAATAGCACAAATTATATTTTAAGTACATTGCTTATGTGAGAGTATTAGCAGTGACAGGAGAGTCTTTAAGAAGCTGTTTGTAAACCTACTGAAAGGATTTCCTTTCTTAACTGCAGACCATGCGTCTTTTCTGATAATCTGTGAAAGTTAATTAAGAAAAATCTTAATTGCGGTTGTTTTGCAACATGTATCAAAATAGTTATTTCAGTAATTGACAGTATTCCCTAGAGGAATTTAATTACAGAAATATCAATCAATTTATTAAATATCAACATTCAATATTAAATATCAAACAATTTATTAAATTAAGATGTAAGCCAAAGAATCAGGCTTTTAAGGGAAATATTAAGTAAAAATGACAGGCTGTTATCTTGAGTGTATTATTATGACAACAGAAATCCTTCTAAATTAACCTTTACCTTTCCTTAGTCTACTGCATTATGAAGTATTATATGTTCTCCAGAATTTTCCACTGCTTTAACAAAGCACAGTGACAAATACTTTGATGAACGGCAAACACTAGGAACAGGTTTTATTTTTAAGTCACTAAAACTATTTCTAGAACCTCAGGCTATCATTATACATCTGCAGTTACTGTAATTACACTAGCTGCTCAGATTATTATTGTATACACAAAATAAGCATTTTCTACAAAGAAAAGTGTTAAGCTACCCAAGTTGTATTCTGCATACCTCTATCTTCAACCTTTCATGCATGAGAGAGCCACCATGTAAAAATTCAGAAGCTGAAAAGTTTAATTCTTATGTTAGGTTAGACTCTGCATCCATGGTCTCTTGTCAAGTCTCCAATGGGCATAAGAAGTCAAGAGCCAGTGTCAGAATGACATACTGATGGAAACAAATAGTGGCTGTGATTTTGCCAGACTACTGCAAGAGGTCTATTTCCATATCTGGTAACTGCAATAAGCTTAAAATATCTACTTGCATGAAAAAGGCCTGAAGGGGCAGAAGGCACATGCAGAGGAAGAATTCTTCAATGCATCCCAAAAATTGTGCC